CGCTGTATTATGTTTAGTATTGCTGGGACTGCGGGATGGGAGTGTATTGGAATATTATAGAGAATTTTGGGCAGTTTATGCACATTTTGAAGTCTAGCGTTTCTGCCAGTAGTGTCGATAACGGGAGTGCGAAGGTTTTTGAGCTCCTGTGGGATAGTGTCAAGCAGTAGTTTGAAGTTATTGGTATAAAGCTGATTGGTAGAAACGGTAAGTTTGATCCCCAGATAAGGGATGCTGTTCGTTTCCCAGGTGAACGGGAAATGTTTAGAGAGAAAGTTTTGGGTTGCAGTAGGTGTATGAAGGTTCAGTATAGATGATTTGGGTTCATTGAGTTTGTAATATGAGACTGCTGTATAGTTATGGATATGGGTACGTATTGATTGAAGCGACTTATAGGGATTTGTGACCATTAGGATAATATCATCCGCAAACAGACTAATTTTGTGTTCCTTATGTAGATAGGTGAAACCTGTAAAATTTGGGTCATTTCTAAGGTTAGATGCTAACGGTTCAATAAGTAGGGCAAAAATTATGGGGGAAAGTGGACAACCCTGTCTGGTTCCGTTAGATATAGAAAAGGGTTGTGAGAGTGTGCCGTTGGTTAGAACTCTGGCAGAAGGATTTGAATAGAGGGATAGAATTGCCGATAGCATCCAATCAGTTATTCCAAATTTTTGGAGTGTAAGTGTCATAAATTGCCAATGGATTCTGTCAAATGCTTTTTCCGCATCTAGTGATAGGAGGAGGGAAGGCTGTTTATTAGATTCGAGGTGGTGTAGAAGGGATATAATTCGCCTGGTAGCGTCTGGTGCCTGTCAACCCGGTATAAACCCCACCTGATCTGGATGGATCAGTTTAGGTAAAAGAGGAAGCAATCGTTGAGCGATTATTTTGGCATATATTTTTATGTCCGTGTTGAGAAGTGAAATCGGTCTATAATTTAGGACTAATTGGGGATCTTTGCCCGGCTTCGGGATAGTGGTGATTATTGACTGGAGCATGTCGGGGGGAAATTCCCCTTTAGAGGCAACCTGATTATATAAGGCAGATAGATGTGGCGTGAGGTTGAGTGTGAAAGTTTTGTAAAATTCATTTGTGAATCCGTCATTGCCAGGTGATTTGTTTAAGGGGAGGGTTTTTATGATTTTTTTCAATTTCTGTGGGAGAAATCGGCTCAGAAATAGATTCAAGTTGGGACTGAGTAATTTGGGGTAGGTCGACGTTAGATAAAAAATGTTCAATGGACAATTTTGTCGGTTGGGTTGTAATTGGGTCATCTTTTATGTTATATAGTGTTTGGTAGTAGGAGGCAAAAGCGTTGGCTATATCCTGTGGGTTTGTTAATGGGGTGTGTGTGGTGGGGTGTTGGACTGTGGAGATTTTGTTCTTAAGGCGTTTTTGCTTGATGGTTTTATTTAAAAAGAGAGTTTGCCTTGTTACCAAGAGCATAAAATTTGGATTTCGTTTTTTGGAGGTTAATATCGTAGTAATGGAGTAAGATGGTACGTAATTTGTTTTTGTCCCGGTTTAGGGCCGTGGCAATGGAGGGAGTTGGGTTCTTTTTGTTGATCTCTTCGTTCAATTGAATGGAGTTTAATAGTTGGTCAATTTGTTGGGATCTTTGTCTGTTAATACGGGAATTCAGCTGTATGAGGATACCTCTCATGTACGCTTTGTAAGTTGACCAAAGTGTAGTAATAGAGATATCAGGGGTGGAGTTTATGTCAAAAAAGAGATTATGGGCTTCTAGTAGGTGTTTCTGGTTCTCTGGGTTTTTCAGAATTGCGGAATTTAGTCTCCATATGGATTGGAGAGCGTTGATTGCTGTCTAAGGATATGTTTATTGGAGCATGGTCAGACCAAGTTATAGTGCCGATTTTGGATGACGTTACGTGTTGTAGGGTCCATTTGTCAGTCACGAAAAAGTCGATTCTAGAGTATGAAAGATGAGGCAGGGAATAGTATGTGTAGTCTCTTTCAGTACTGTGGTGACATCTCCAGATGTCATACAGGTCATGGTTATGCAGGAATTGATTGAAGTTGAGTTTGGTGGGTCTTTGGCTAGAGGAAGAGTCAAGATGTGGGTTGTTTATGATGTTAAAGTCGCCACCAATAATAAGTCTGCCTTGTTTATGGCGGGCAACGATTTTGTGGAGCTTATGGTAGAAGCGCATCTGTTTGCAGTTCGGGCCGTAGACGTTCACTAAGGTGTAGGTTATGTCGTTAAGCTGGCATACAAGGATGTGGTAGCGCCCTTGTGGATCGGCTGTTTGCGAGATGATGCGGCATGAAACGGAGTCATTGATGGCAGTAATAACTCCATTCTTCTTTTGGAGGTTGGTAGCCAAAAATATTTGGGTGAAGCGGTGGAGAAATAATTTGGGAATTTTTCCCGTAGCGAAGTGGGATTCTTGTATGAAGAGTATGTCGGCTTGGGATTTCCGGGCTTCCTTGGCAAGCATCGATCTCTTCAACGGAGAGTTTAGGCCTCGTACGTTGAGAGACGTGATATTAATCATTGGTGCGTATTTTCTCTGTGTTCACAATTAGTTGGAATGTTATTTGAAGGGATCGTAGTTTAGTGGGTGCTTCTATGAGAGAGAAGGCAGTGAAACTGTTATACTTTGAGTTAGGCTCGATTGGAGAATTAGGGTGAGCGTTTTCCAGATATGTGCGGGGTATACAAAGCTGGGGTTGTAGGTGCGTGTCTGATGGTGCCTCAACTGGGGGAAGGTAAGGATACAGAAAACAGTAAAAAAACACTTGCAGGAAATGCAAGTAGACCAAGTAGTATCCATTGCTACTTGAGAACTGGGGGATGAGAGCAGGCTTTGACCACCGAAGGGGTCATGCCAATTAGAAAAATGTTGAACAGGTAACATCGGGTTTTGGCCGATCGCCAAAAGATGGTATGTTGGAAAAAAAAAAAAGCCTCTAGGGAGAGGAGTACGTATGTTTGAGGAGAAAGTGTGCCGCTTGCTGGTTATGATGCCTCCATATGCTGAATGGAGGCAGATGCAGTTCCATGTGCGTCCACGGGAAGGATGTTCCAGGCTTTAAGTAGGTCCAGGCCTGCTTCCAGGGTTTTTATCGTGAATATTCTGCCTTGGTGCCGTATTGTTAGCTTTGTGGGGAAACCCCATTGGTATGGTATACCGTGATTCCTCAGAGCTTTGGTTATTGATATCATTTTTTTCCTATTGAGGAGTGTGGCTTTAGATAAATCCGCGTATAGTCGGAGATTTGCATGTGATGGCGGAACCGGGGGTGGACTCCTGGCAGCCATCATGATTCTTTCTTTAACATGGTAGAAATGTACACGGGCTAATACATCTCTTGGAATAGATGCTGACAAAAATGGCGGTTTTGGCAATCGGTGAGCACGATCGATCGCTAGCTCCAGGTCAGGAATTGATGGGATAAGGAATTTGATATATTGCTGTAAATAGGGCAATAGTGTCTCATTAGTGACTGATTCGGGGATCCCTCTAAATTTAATGTTGTTGCGTCTTGATCGATCTTCCAAGTCAGCCAATTTTAGGTTAATTTGTTCGATGTCTGATGTGTGGTCAGCGTGAGCATCGATCAGATCATTGTGTGCTGTTATTACATCACTCATGTTAATTTCAATATGGCGAATTCTACTTTCCTGTCGCTGTACCGCAGCAATGATTTGACTCAGCGATGTGGAGATATCATTATATAATGTTTGTCGCAGTGATGTCAGCATACTTTTCATAGAGATTTCTGTCAGCGGCTGATCCGACGCTGGGAACGAATCTATGTCGGGCAATACTGCGTGGGGTGGCTAGGCGGAAGGTTTAGGGCCTGGAGTGAGGGTTCAAAGTCATGGTCTAGGTGTGGCCGAGACTTGGCTGGGCTACTAGTTGTGGGGGACAGTGGGGGTGACAACTCACCGGGGTCCCCTGGATAAAGCGAATGCCGCAGCCTGGCATCTGTTTGCTGGGCATTGTAGTCCCCCTCAGGCCTCCTGCTGTCTCCCTGGACGCTGCTGCTGGCGCCATCTTGGGTTCCCGGCGTGACGGCCGGGAAGAATTTAGTGAGTTTCCTGGCTGTTCGGGGGTTTTCCGTCGGCGGGGCATGCTTGGAGAGGTGCGGGAACTCCTCAGGTATGACACCGTGAGGTTATTATCTCCCTGGGCTGGTGTGTGCCGGGTTAGTGCTGGCGGGAGGACGGAGCTCTCAGATCAGAGCGTCCATCAGAGCCGGCCGCGCATGCGCCCCTTCTCCAGGACTTTTTTAAAGCAATTCACTGAGCTGGCCAGAACCAACTCTTGAGGGAGTCTATTCCACATTTTCACAGCTCTCACTGTGAAGAAACCTTTCCGTGTTTGGAGATTACATTTCTTTTCCTCCAGACGTAAAGAGTGCCCCCTTGTCCTCTGTGATGACCTCAGGGTGAATAACTCTACACCGAGTTCACTATATGAACCACTGATGTATTTATACATGTTGATCATATCCCCCCTTAATCTCCTCTTCTCAAGAGAGAATAAATTCAGTTCCTCTAATCTTTCCTCATAGCTGAGCTTCTCCATGCCTCTTATCAGTTTGGTTGCACTTCTCTGTACTTTCTCCAGTTCCCCAATGTTCTTATTGTGAATTGGTGCCCAAAACTGAACTGCATATTCCAGATGATGAGGTCTTACTAATGATTTGTACCGGGGTAATATGATATCTCTCTCTGGAGTCTATACCTCTATTAATACAAGAGAGGATTTTGCTCACTTTAGAAACTGCAGCTTGGCATTGCATGGTGTTATTAACCACTAGCCTACAGGGCACTTATACCCCCTTCATACCCAGGCCAATTTCCAGCTCTCAGCACTGTCGCACTTTGAATGACAATTGCGCGGTCATGCAACACTGTACCCATATGAAATTTTTATCATTTTTTTGTGACAGATAGAGCTTTCTTTTGCTGGTAACTAAAAACCACTGAAAATTTTGAAAAAAAAAATGTTTTTTCTTAGTTTTTGTTATAAAATTTTGTAAATAAGTGATTTTTCTCCTTCACTGATGTGCGCTAATGAGGCTGCAGTGATGGGCACTGATAGGCTGCACTGATGGACACTGATAGGTGGCACTGATGAGGAGGCACTGGTAGGTGGCACTGATGGGCATTGACAGGCATCACTGATAGGCACTGAAAGGCAGCACTGATACATGGCACTGATATATGGCACTGTTAGGCGGCACTGACTGGCACTGTTAGGCGGCACTGACTGGCACTGATGCAAACTGATAGGCGGCACTAACTGGCACTGATAGGCGGCACTGACTGGCATTGATAGGTGGCACTGACTGGCAATGATGGATGACACTGAAATGCAGCTCAGATGGGCACTGATGTGCACTGATATGTGGCATTGATGTGGCACTGATAGGCACTGACAGCTGGCACTGCTTGGGCTACACTGATCATCAGGGCACACTGATCATCAGTGCCCTGATGATAAGTGTACATGTCACATAACCGAGCCGACATCTTCGGCTCTTTCCGTGATCGGTGATCCGATGTGTCCGAGGGACACAGCACACCGCCGATCACCGCGCTGCACGCTCCCTGAGCCGCGCATGCGCGGTGAGAATGGGAGGACGTCATATGACATCCTCTCAGAACGAGAGAACCACCTTGCGCCCGTCATTGGACTATATGGCGGGCGGGCGGTGGTTAAGCTTGTGGTCTACCAGAACCCCCAGATCCTTCTCCACCATTGATTCCCCCAGATCCTTCTCCAACATTGATTCCCCCAGATCCGTCTCCACCATTGATTCCCCCAGATCCTTCTCCACCATTGATTCCCCCAGATCCGTCTCCACCACTGATATCCCCAGATCCGTATCCACCATTGTCTTCGATGTGAAATTATATTTCTGACCATTATCCCAATGTTGTCTCAAAGTACAGTATATGTAAACCCTCACCTTGTAAAACAACTTATTTAGTTTAATATAGAAATGAAAAGTAAAACATTTGTTTATAGATATAAACATTATAAATGCCTTTTCCCCCTATTTAGAAGTGATCACATTCCCTCACTTCTCAGCTGCATAAGAGCTGGGGGAGGAGAAACAGCAGAACACTAATCTTCTCAGTGATTGGCTGTGCGGGGGGGGGGGGGGGGGGGGGTCAGGATAAGTCTGGTCATTGGAGGAGAGCAGGCTGAGTTCCAGCATAGCTAGAGAACTGACCATGCTGTGCTCTCCTGCTTAATGTGGTCAGTTTTTAACAGGAAAGCAAAGGGAATGGCAGAAACACCAAGAATTTCACACAAAGGAAGCAATACAAAGAGAACTGCATAGTTTTTCATACAAGTTCATGGTACAGAAGGCACATATCAGGAATATGACATGCTGGGTTTACAAATTCTTTCAATTCTAAAATAATTCATATTGTTTTTATTAAGCGGTGGTGACAGATCACACAGACTACTGTTAAAGGTATCTGAGGACATTTTTATAAATCAGAGCTTGGCAAATGTGCTTTGGATCTAGGAGTCAGCTATAAAAATTAGGAGTGTTTTTTTAGCGTAGCGTGGGTTGTCAGCAACCCTGGGCAAGGCAACTTTCGGGCAAAAAGCTTCATGCAATGCGATTTTCTGCATGACAATCACGGTAAAACCGCACCACGTTTTAGGTGCCATTGAAAATAATGGCACCAGAACCTGCGTTTTGCGATCACAATTCTGCTGCGATCCCAATATGCCCAGGTATGGAGCCGCCCTGGTTCACACCTATGCCATTCTGGATGCGTTTTCAAACTTACAGATTAGCATGGCAAACTAGATATTATGTGTTCTTATTGAGGTGGTTCACACAGATGAGTTCCACATGCATTGTGTTTTGGGTGCCATTACGGAAAGGGTCCTGTGTGAGTTTGTAGCGGTGCGTTCCAGACCCGCAAGTGATAGAGTAGAGTGGCATATGTAGATAAGTGTTCACATAGGATTGCTATTGAGAGGTGGTTTTGCATTGAAGTCAATGGGAGGCGTTTTTGCATTGAAGTCAATGGGAGGCGTTTTTGCATTGAAGTTAATGGGAGGCGCTTTTACATTGAAAACAATGAGACATGATTTTGCATTGAAGTCAACAGGAGGCGTTTTTGCATTGAAGTCAATGGGAGGCGTTTTTGCATTGAAGTCAATGGGAGGCGTTTTTGCATTGAAGTCAATGGGAAGCGTTTTGCATCGCAAACAATGAGAAGCGATTTTGCATTGAAGTCAATAGGTGTTTTTGCACTGAAGTCAAAGGGAGGCGTTTTTGCATTGGTCAGTGGGAGGCATTTTTGCATGGAAGTCAATGGTTGGTGTTTTTGCATTGAAGTTATTCGGAGGCGATTTTGCAATTAAGACAATGTGATGCGATGTTGCATTGAAGTCAATGAGACATGATTTTTCATTGCAGTTAATGGGAGGCAGAGTGTGAACCCAGGCCCCAAGACACAATTTCTAATCGCCATGATGACCTGGCACCCAGGATTTGCTGAGCCCTGTTTTAAATAGTGTAGGGCCCTGGTGCCCATCCTGCAGTCTGAGGGCCATAGATGACCCTTGTTGGATGGCCATCTGGACTGATTTATAAAGGGACTCCAATGGCAATGATTTCTAGAGGTCCCCAATCTCTGTGTTCTGCTCCATGTCTCCACACCAGCAACATCCCCGCACTCTCTGCCCGTCTCATATAGTATGTCCTCAGAACGTCTCGTGGCATCTCATGTAATAAACATTAGGTGAGGCCCTGATGTCAGGGGCCACAGCCGAGGACCTCAATACCTCATAAGTTGTCAGTCACTATGTAGGGAAAGGTCAGAACCTCTGTCAGGTTTTTATTGCTACAAAACAAACCATACCACCCATGAGGAAAACATAAAAGTAGGAAGCATAGCAATGTGGTGGTAGTATATCAGGATTTCTCTAGGCGCTTGTAACATTTGTTAGCCCTCTGAAGACCACAGTGGACCACTCTTCAGAGGGTGTTTGAGAGGCAGAGATGAGGCATTATGTTGCATTGCACACGGTTGTGGCTTGTCCCATTCAGTTCAATGTGTCCCATTTGGCGGGTGGCATTGCCCTCAAAACAGAGGGGAGCATTTGTGCCGCGCCATGACGCAAAGCAGTATAGCCGCAGCATGTGCACATTCCCATCCACTGCCTATGCAGGTTAAAGGCCAAGTACACCTGTGGAGCATGTTACACCCTGAGGTGTCCCCCCCCCCCCCCACAGCCACTATATACCCACACAGCCATGTTATTTATTCACAGCCATCCGTGAATGAAGACACTACAAGTCCCAATGACTGCCACCACAGCAGACGGCCTTGTAGTCCTCCATGGACTTGGAGGGCGCTGGTGAGCACAGTCATGGTTCAGTCACACATCCTCCAGCTTTCCAACAGAAAGTCTATACAGAGGTACAGGCAAGAAAGCTGGAGGAGTGTCTGCAGGGCCCTGACAGTGTACCCACCATCCCACCTCTGCAATGCTGTGCAGGCTCCTGTGAGGAAAAATTATCAATGCACTTCTTTTTCTGCAAAAATATTTTCATCCATTATTTTCCCTTTAAGGTGCACAAGGCCTAGCATTGGAGAGATTTTCTCACTTCCGGTTTATAACCAGAGAGGATGTGAAGGAAAATCTCTCCAACAGGACAATAATAAATACTGATCCAAGGGTTATCCTGTAATGGGCAGACGTGAGTGTGGAGGAAGGTTGTGGGCAGTGAGGACCAGTACACAGAGAGCTCTCCTCACACCACAGCTCCCACCACCTCACTTCTCCCAGCACAGACCCCTCAGCCCATCCACAGGGATGCCGGGGAACCCTTAATGGTTTATATTACAGCGGAACGTTCCACATTTCACTGAGTATAGGGGGAGGTGACAAGGAAAAACTCGTGATATCTCCTAATAGGAGGTGGTAGGAGTGTGTGCGGTGTACTGAGAGCCGGCCGATCACTCCGGACCCCCGGCCCGTACATCTCCCTGCCCCTGGATAGAGCAGTCCCCTTCCCTCCTCCTCTCCGTGTTGGTGGTATGCTCCGGCCTCCGGCCACTGACAGGCGGGGAGGAAGATGGCGTCTGGTTGCTTAGCAGTGCTGCTGTAAATCCGGTGTAGTGGTGTCATCGTAATCCCCAGAGCGGAGCCCGGCCGACATGTCTGACTCGGAGGAGGAGAGCCAGGACCGCCAGCTGAAGATTGTCATCCTGGGGGATGGAGCCTGCGGAAAGGTCGGTCCACACCACACTGTGTGCATTGTCAGGGGCCCCAACACTGTATACACTGTACACACAGCCAGGGGCCCCAACACTGCCTTCTCTGTATACACTGTACACACTGCCAGGTGCCCCACCACTGCCTTCTCTGTATACACTTCCATACTACTAGGGGCCCCACCACTGACTGCGCTGTACACACTGCCAAGGGCCCCACCACTGTATATATACTGTACACATTATACACACTGCCAGGGACCCCACCACTGTATACACTACCCATTGCAATGGACCTCATTCCTACCTGTTGCCAAGGACCCCATTATTGAGTTTGCACCAGGGACTCCATCACCATCAATCTCCTCATTGTGTCCACTGACAGAAACCCCATTACTACTCACTGTGCCCGGTAACTCATGACTACTTACTTCCATAGCTATATACCACATCATCTTCCCGATCTAGCTACTTCCATAGATATGTACCCCATCATCTTCCCGCTCTAGCTACTTCCATAGATATGTACCCCATCATCTTCCCGCTCTAGCTACTTCCATAGATATATACCCCATCATCTTCCCGCTCTAGCTACTTCCATAGATATATAGCTACCCATCATCTTCCATCTTCTCTAGCTACTTCCATAGATATGTAGCCCATCATCTTCCTCTCTAGCTACTTCCATTCCCCTCACCTACTCTACTTCCACTTCCATATATATGGACCGTATCATCTTCCCGCTCTACCTTCATCTTCCCACTCTACCTACTTCCATATATATGGACCGTATCATCTTCCTGCTCTACCTACTTCCATATATATGGACCGTATCATCTTCCCGCTCTACCTACTTCCAGAGATACAGTATATACTCCATCATCTTGCAACTCTACCTACTTCCAGAAAAATATACCCCATCATCTTCCCACTCCACCTACTTCCAGGGACATATACCCCATCCACTTTCCTCTCTACTTACTTCCATAGCTATATACCCCATCATCTTCCCGCTTTACCTACTTCCATAGATATGTACCCCATCATCTTCTCACTATACCTACTTCCATAGATATGTACCCCATCATCTTCCCGCTCTACCTACTTCTAGAAATATATACCCCATCATCTTCCCACTCCACCTACTTCCAGGGACATATACCCCATCATCTTCCCACTCCACCTACTTCCAGGGACATATACCCCATCATCTTACCACTCTATCTACTTCCATAGATATATACCCCATCATCTTC